ATCTCCCCCCCCCCCCCCCTACCCACACCCACCCCTACCAGGTCTGGTAGATCCATCCCTCTCAAGCCCAGAGAAGTTAACCAACCTAACTGAAGCTTAGTTTCCACCTACAGTTGGGGGCAACATGCTAACCCATCGCCCGCCGTACCCCTTTGTGTCATATTTAATATGACATTTACTAAGGTTTTTCTCAGCTAACTAAAGCCCATTTCATGGGTTTAAAACTCTTCTTTAAAGCTAACTATAAACCTCGCTAATACTGACTGGCTACGTTTTACCTTTCGTAAAATTTTTCAAAGTTCTTTTCATATTCTGTAATTCCTCGACGTCTGTATACTGCGGGCCATAATGTATAGTCAATAATCGTATTCCAGATTCTATTACCGTCAGTGCCTTGTTCGTTTGCCGTCCGTTGAATAACAGCTGTGCTAATTTATGCAGTTCGTGGGCGTACTCGATGCTTTCCGACCCGAATCGTCTTCGTACGGACTCCGTGCTCTGTTCGCAGTGGAACGCCGCTTGTCGGAAATCTCCGAGTGAAGCATGACATCTAGTAATTTGAGAGACAATGAAAAAATCAGTATTTTAGTTAGGTTGGTGGGTGGGTAGGTAGGTGAGTGGGTAGGTAGGTGGGTAGGTGGGTGGGTGGGTAGGCGAGTGGGTAGGTGGGTGGGTAGGTGAGTGGGTAGGTAGGTGGCTGGGTAGGTAGGTAGGTGGCTGGGTGGGTGGGTACGTGGGTGGATGGGTAGGTAGGTGGATAGGTAGGTGGATAGGTAGGTGGATAGGTAGGTCAGTGGGTGGGTAGGTGGGGTAGGAAGGTGGGTAAGTGAGGAGGTAGGTGGTTGGGAAAGTAGGTGGGTGGCTACAATCTTGGACATAACTAGTTCAGACTATTTTCCCCCTATACAAAATTCGCATATTTTTATGATAAACTCCATGTTGAATCATGTTGCCCTTCTTAAGCTCCCGCTCCCCCAACTCAATGTTGAGCTTGTGTCATGCATGGTATATTACCAAAATTTGTTTGGCGTTGTTTACAACATTGAACTTGGGGGGGGGGGGGGGGGGGGAGAAGACAAAGTTTGTTTTGTCAATGTTCAATAACTTTGTAATACTGATTGGAATGGTCTCAAGGGTTTTGTCCAAGATTGTAGGTAGGTATGTACGAAGTCAAGTTACCTTGCCAAGGCATCGTGCGTTTCAGCTACATCTTTATCATATCTTTGTAAAACATTTTGTCTCTTTTTTAAACATTCCTTCAAAACTTCCAAACATTTCTCCCCTTGGCCCCGTTCCAGACT